ACACACCTTAAATCAAGCACACCCACATTCTTCCACAATCATATTGGGAACGTCCCTTTTCACAATGTTGTATTCATCATCAAAGTACAGCATTGACATTGTGCTAAGTTTGGTTGGAATGCAACAGGAGTTCACGGTGCCCGGGTTCAGCCCCCGCATTCGGTACTGATTCACGACGGCGGTGTGAAAGGAGGAAGCCGACCCCGGGACGCCGGCCAAGTAGGCCGGGCAGCTCCCTTCACAGTAATTCCCATAGTAACCTGATGGTGCTATGATCCAGTCATTCCACCCAATGAGTCTAAAGTCAATGTAAAACTGTTGCCTGCAACATAGATTGGTCCTGCCATCGCACTCCAGGCCTCTTTTCCGGATCCTGTGTTTGTTATCGGCGAGGCGGGCTTGCACCACTAAAAAAGGCCGGTGGGATTCCTCCCCGGGGTCCACATAAATTGGCAGCACTGAATACTCTTCACAGCCCTCACATTGAACATCCAAGTTCAGTCTCCTTTCTCCTCTCTCAAACAGAGCCTGGATCGCCTCTGTCATGGGAAAAGTGTGCCAACCACTTCTTTTGAGATCAACTTTCTTTTCAACCACATTCCACTTGTTGCTAGTGTCCGGGTCTTGGAAATAGACTTTGACTCTTACTTTTCGCCTGCTGCCTTTCTCTAAGACATATGGAAGCAGCTTCAAGTAAAGCCACAGGCTGGCTTGAACGACAAACAAGTTCTGGTTCCCTTCATTCGAGATGAAGAAATAGAGGCGGACTCTAGATGAGGCCAGATCGTCTGCAAGATAAGGAGAGATCAGCAAGATTAAGTCAAAACGGAAACGTTAGCCTGTGTGCCATTCTGGATTCGGGGACCATGCTAGAGCACAGCGGACCGAGAGACCGGCGAGGCTGTGCCGGCCAGAAGGCACGCACTGCATCAGATATCCCCAATTTGCAATCGAAACGCTTTGAAAAGGGACTTCCCACAGCAGTGCTCATCATCGGGCTGTAGTCGGATGTGTCAGCTCCACAGACACCAGTAAGAGCTCTCCAGAACTGGGTCTTTTCAGCCAGACAGCTTTAAAGATGCTACAGCAGCACCTTGAAAAGACCGGCACTCGGACTCGGCCACCTCGTCGGTTTAAGAACTAGCTTTAACTTTCAGCTACCCGCCGGTTCTCACAGGGAGAGCCCTTTCAATAACCACTGAAACACCAATGCCAAACCAGGGATTTTGTTTCGATTTTCACATATTCCCGTCGCAGTTTAACAGAGAGGATTCATGAGACGGAGGGGAAAATATTTCAATAATGTGCCTGCTTGTCCAACAAGATCAAGCTAACCCCCGCTTAGTCTGGTAGAGTATCTGCTATTATTAATCGTTTCGATCTCTGCCTTTTCACCCCGAAACGATAAACTCCCATACAAGGCGAGGCAAAATGAAGCGGTTGCTCTCGCTGTAACGCCGTTACTGGCTGTTCTCAATACGCCTTTCAGTAACACCAGTATTAAAGGAGCGAAATCGTCACGGAAAACCAAATGTCACCAAATGCCTGACATAACCCCTTATTTGTAAACAAAAGAGCCTGCTGCATGAAATGTTTCAGAAACACCGGTGGCCCTGCTGCAATTTTGTACTATAAGTCCTAACTGAATTTGGCGTAGGTGATGAATGCGCAAGCTGGCCTTTACGGCAGAGACTGTAATTCTGGTCCTTGAATCAAAGCCTCCCAATCGCTATTTAAAATTATTGCTGGAAAGGCATTTTCTCGTCTGCCCTTCTCTGTCTCACTTCTTTCTGTACAGAGCAAAATGTAGATTTTTTTTTTCTTCCTTCTCTTTTCCTAAGAATCTTTATTATTTTTGTCAATCTCTGAATGGGATTTTTTGCGTAGTCGGTGTCTTCATCTGTTACCCTAGATGCCTTTCAAATGTGCCTCCAGGGCCCATTCGGTACCTTCTAATATTTCAGGGACAAAAATTTTCACTGTTTGTCTACGTTTTACATAAAGGCGATTTTGGAAGTGTTACAACAGCCAGCGATTGATTGAATACTAAATGGAAGTACAAGCCCACCCCAGATTTCCCAACAACAGCCTGTTAAAAAATAATAAACCCCAAAATGTACCCTAAGAAAGCCTTCCACATGTCAGTAAATACACAACTTCTTGATAAACTGTGGTGACAGCGACAGAGAACGAACAGTACGGTGTTGCTGCACCGATCCACGTCGCTTGTGTTGTGTGAGATTGTGTGTGCCCATAAATTTTGTATGTGAATATAACAAGCGTATGTATAATGCAACAGATCCCATAGATACTGTAAATGTATATGCCTTTGGTAAGTGGGAGGGTAGATAAAGAAGATGAGTGGGCAGTATACAGGATAGAAAGAGATTTATTTTGTGGACAAATGATATATAGATGCCACAGGGAGATAGAGAGCGAGAGAAATGAACCGAGCGATAGAGCGATGACGGAAAGGAGAGATGGGCAGATAGACAGCAGAGAGCTAATTTGCAGAGTGATGGTGTTATGGCCAGATGCGCAAAGTTCACAGGCACAGCGGTTGCCTGGATAAACTGCTGGAAAGCTGTGCTGAAGGGATTCAGTGACACATAACTGCAATGGCGGGACAGGACTGAGATGGCTGGTACTGTGGGGATGGATGGCACAGTTAGTAAGTGGACCGACGGACAGAGAGGAGACAGACACACTCGGGAGGAGGCTGCACGCAGTGGACAAACAGACAAGGCCAACACTACGAATGAAAGCTAAATAAATGGGAAACGAACGGAAAGGGAGGACGGGTGAATGCCAGCCTCAACAGCCAGATGCACGCAGTGAACCAGCTGAATGCGCAGGGCAGGCGATGAGGCAGGGGACGCAAGAGATGGAGTGGGACAGGCGGAGGAGGGACAGCGGGACGCACAGGGATGGAGCCGAGCCACGGTGCAGC